GAGGAGAGGGGAGGAATTCGGCCAGAGTCTCTCTACTTTAGATGGGATGTCGAATTCCCTTAGCCATAGGATCTATTTATACTTATAGACTCCTTAAGGGTTACAACTTAAACCCTAATTGGATAACTTAGACTTTAAGTTAATCCATATCCTTTCCTTGATAACCCTATGGATGATTTTGGCTTATCCTAGCCTTAGAAATCGTCCGATCCTTTATCAATAATGATTTACAGTCTAAAGTTTAACTATCAAGCAATTGACAGTTTATACCCTCTTATTTAACTAATCTCTTTAAGTCACCAAATTAATTCTAATTAATTCTATGACTTATATTAATATATTATTCTTTATATTATTCTCATAATATACTAATAATATTTACTATCTCTTAATAAATCATCCTATCAAGTTGCTATGGTGAAGGCAGCCCAAAAGGACCATGCACAATCGGGTCAAATAATTGCCTAATATAGTTACAGCCTTAGACACTATTCCAACATACTCTACAACCTATAACATGGATTCCGTAATCTAGTTGCAGAATATTTGAAGGTAGGTAAATAACGATTTACCAATTTCCACCATGAAAAATTTCCACCATGAAAAATGAAAAAGAAATTTAAGTTTTAAATGTTTTGAAAACTTCTCGATCCATTGAGATTCATTGAACTTTTCAATGGCATGTATAATCTCGATTATGCCCTTCATTTGTAACTGGGATGCCGATGATCACAAATAAGGTGTGATTAACCATGCGAATGTACTTGGTGCACCCAATGTTATTATCACCTAATCAATGTGCCGGTTAACCACACACGCTCCATTGATCTATGCAAACATCGAGCCATCCTTTGCTACCAATGCCAATCCCAAATTAGTGTGCCGGTTAACCACACACGCTCCACTAATGTCTCGACAACGATACAAAGTGTAATTCCATGGAGTAGCGTACAATTTCACATTTCGCCCAAAGTAACTAGGATTTGGGAATTTGTAAAAGCGTTTAGTTACTTTGTATTCATTATACTTTATAATGGAAGATTGTGTCGTATCCTACTCGTTCGGCTAACGACCCTCCACTAGTCAAGAGTGCGGTGGGTAAGAGTGGATACCCATTCAACCGCCATTTTATAGGCAATTTCCTTAAACACCCCTTAGAGACCAGCTCCGTGAATGAGGTCTACTAATGGTAAGACTGTCAATTTACTCATTCATATATATAATATTAGATTTTTAATGTTATATATAGTATATAATGTATTTTATACTCTTAAAATGCCACGTGGTTTAATTTAATAAATTATACTTTTAATTTAATTTAATGTAAAAAAATATCTTTATGGATTTATTAACTCTCTTTTAATTATACACTTAACTTAATAAAACCATAAGGGTGTAATTTTTAACTTTTCAAAATACTAGGATTTTAGAATTTAATATTTCAAAAATTAAACTTTTAATCAAAAAGTTTAAATTCCAAAACTTGAGGGCAAGTTTTGAAACTTTTCAAAACTATCTAGATCCAATTACAAATAATTAAAATTAATCAAATAATTGGAATTATATAAATTTAACCTAATTCAATTTCTTGCAAGATAATTCAAATCAAATAATTCAAATAATTAGGGTTTATCAACTAAAGCAATATTTATCTAATTAAACGACACTTATCTCTAATTTTGACAAGGATAATCATAACAAATTAATAAAATTCGGATTTTATCAATCAAAAGCAATTTTGGTAATTATCCAAGCTCAAAATAGGTCAAGATCCCAAGTTTTCTGCCATCTGAACCGACACCACCTCGTGGTGATCAGGCAGAAGCAAAAAAACGAAAAAATTTCTGCTTTGAAAACATAACTTTTGCATTAAATACATTAGAAAACCATCCTAGGCTTTGATACCACTGATGAGTTATGAGCACTACATCAATCCTATGGTGCACATGCAAAACCCTAAAACTTTGGATCTAGGTTTATCTAATTGTACATGCAAGTTATCCAAAGCTCATAAACCCTAGATCTAGCATACAATAATCTAATTAACATATGAATAAGGGTTTAGATCTTTACCTTGATTGTTATATAGCCATAACAATCCCAAATCCTCTTGTAATTGGCTTCAGAAAGCTTACTCCCTCAAGTGTTGCACCTCTAATGGAGTCACAAACACCATGAGCAATAAGGATGAAGAGGAGAGGCACCCAAAAACGTCTAGAAACCCTAAAGGATTGCTTAGCCACGTTTTTGGGGCTTAGGGGGTCTCTATATATAGTTAGGCTATTAGGGTTTTAGCTGGAAACCCTAATATGACTGCTTAAGCCCTAAGCAGCCCATGGACTCCCTCCTTAGAAGCCTTAGACGAATTCTTATGGGCTTCCCTATATAATTTGTGCACTCCAACTTCTATGGAATCCATTAGCCCAATTGCAATTATCTTATAATTACAATATCAATCCCCTAAGTTTAATTAATCTCTTTTAGCTACAAAATTAAATCTTAATTAATTATTGACTAATATTAATTAAACAATATGATTTCTCCTTTAATATATTATTCTTACAATATATTAATAAATCATAATTAATCATCTCTCTCCATAATTCATCCTAAAAGTTGCTATGATGAAGGCAACCCAAAAGGACCATGCTCATAATCGGGTCAAGTACATCCCAAAATAGTTATAGACATAAACACTAACCCAACAAAAACAATAACAAAGCAAGGTATAAACTTTATACCTCCAAATTACTGAAAAAGGGTGGGGAGATTCTGGATCCAAGTCTTCTCTTCAAGCTACTTCAACTTCAAGGATCCTCCAAAAGTGTGCAAAATATCAACTCTTAAGTCCCTTCACAAGCTCACACACTCTCAAGGACGATGATACACTCTTTTAGGGTTTTTTGGACAGAGGAGGCTGTCAAGGAGGCCAACCAAGAGACTTAAGGTCTTTAAATAGGGTGCAACACCCTAAAAATTAAGGTTTCCTTCCTAACCGCCAACTAGTCGAGTTGAGGCACCAAAACTCGTCGAGTTGGTCCATTAATTCTTGCGGCCAAAATCCACTCAACACGTCGAGTTGAAGCATTCAACTCGCCAAGTTAAATAGGAAAATTCACAATTTAAGAAAATAAATTCATACTGGAACTAAGCGTTACAGTAACTTAAACATCAACACATCATTGGCACACATTTTTGACACAATGACATGACTATCACACAACTCTAATCCCTTTGTAGTTACCAACATATTAATAACTGTGAAATAGCCTTTACAAATATTTACACCATCAATCGTCATCCTACTCCCATCTTCCAAAACAAAATGCACATACAAGCATATTTTATCATAAAAAATTATGAACAATACAAAGATGACCCTAAATTACACACGAATAACAACAATGTACACTAATAAAACGATTAACAATAGACCTTATCACTACACAAAACAATTATGGGAATAGTCTCAATTAACTTATATTTTCAATATGTGATTTACTTATTGTTTTGTTGGTTATGAGGGTGTTTCTGGCAACACTATAAAAATTATAAAAATTAAAGAAGATTAATTAATCATTAGACAACAATACACCATAATATATTCTTGGGCCTAATTAAAGAGCCCAACAAAGTTCCATATAAGAAGGAATCAAATTGCTTAATAAAACTAGCTATAATTTCTTTTGGTATGGTCCAACTCTACAATAAGTTTTTGGTATATTTGATCTTCTATAAAACAAACTTGTAAAAAAAGGAAACCTTCAACATTGTCCATTCATGAAGACAAAATACATGTCTAACTTGCTAAGGTTATATGTAAAATTCTCAAATCGACCAAATACAAGACTTTGAATGATTTCGTATATATTTTAGTAATATCTTGTTGGACATCCCTATCAACTTATATCAAGTAATTTGTAATAAAAAGGGATCTTTATTCATAAAACCTAGGCACAACATGGGTGAAGACAACAAAAGGCAAGAAATTACCTAAAAGAGAAAAATCCATTTGCAATAATGAACACTCAAGGTTTTATTAATATTGTTTTTTTACTTTATAGTTATATAATATCATTTTATTTTAGATTTGTGCTCCTATCATTGTTTATGTTTAAACTTAATTTGATGTAAATATATACTTTAATAAATAAATATTACTTTTCAAAACTTACATTAATAAATATATAGATCTCAATACATTCCAAAATAACACAAATATTGTATGTTATGGTATTTTCTTAAGTATCTTAACTTCACAAAGAACAAAAGCAAGCTTAAAAAGTTTATTAGTTTAGATAAATGAAATGCATAAACACATAATATGAACTACAATTTTAAATACTTAAATTTTAAATAAGTGTAAATGAATCATTTGAATATAGATTAGTGGCTTTATAATGCATGTCATTGCAACTTCTTTTTTTTTTTTTTCAAAAGTTATAAAAAAAGACCCATTTTTTTCTAATAAGGGTTTGGGAATAAACCTCATATATAAGCGTGCAAAACATGTATAGTTTTCTAGATTAACAAAAATGATAATAAGAGATGTATCCATAGAACAACCATATGAAGCAATTTTGATGCCTTGAAGCAAGTGATTAAGATAATTTGAGCCAAGAAGCCAATTTCTATCATAGTTGGTTATCGAATAGGAATCTTGCATTTCTATGATAAAGGCAAAACTTTAGCAATGGGAAAACATATCTATCAAGGCAAACCTTGCTCTAATAAGCCTAATCAATTACTATTTGTAGATGATGGTGTAACAATATATTTCATTGTGTGTTTTAACCATTTATAATTAGTTTGTTAGAAATTAATTATCCCTTAACAAATTCTAAAGAAAATGTCACTTTCTATGGGTGCCCACTTGAAATACGAAGCCACTGATGATCATATACATTCACGACTAAAATGCTCTATATATACTTGTTAAGAATAACGAAAGAGAGACATCCTTCAACTCTTTCACTTTTATCCCTAGCAAGAGATAAGAAATGTTGCCAATTATTTCTTATGTGTTGCTTCTCACTTGCACCACCATCTTCAATGTCTCTCCCACCATGGCAGCTGATAATGAACTCAAAACCTACATTGTTCAGTTAACTTCACCCCAAGGCCAAGACTTTTCTCAACCTCAAGATCGTGAAGAGTGGTACAAATCACTTCTATCAGAAAGTGCCTCCATCTCAAATGAGAAACCGATCATGGTTCATATGTACCACCACGTAATGATAGGATTCGCTGCAAAAATGTCGGCGCATCATGCAAAGGTGATGAAGAATATGAAGGGAGTTTTGTCTGTAAGACCTGAGAGAGTGTATCAGTTACACACAACTCGTTCCCCACAGTTTTTGGGCTTACACCAAAACTCAGGGTTTTGGACGGATTCAAACTATGGGAAGGGAATGATAATTGGGATTATAGACACCGGAATCACTCCTGGGCATCCTTCGTTCAATGATGAAGGGATCCCACCTCCATCGTCTAAATGGAAAGGCAAATGTGAAGTAGCAGGGTGTAATAACAAGCTAATCGGGTTAAGGAACTTTGATCCCTTTAGTAAAACGCCAGTCGATGAACACGGCCATGGAACTCACACTTCAAGTACTGCAGCAGGAAGTCATGTACACAACGCGAACGTATTTGGAAATGCCAATGGCACTGCCATTGGAATGGCACCATTGGCACACGTGGCCATGTATAAAGTGTGCAGTTTTGGCTGTTCAGGAAGCGCCATTGCAGCAGGCATGGATGCAGCTATTGAAGATGGTGTTGATGTGCTTTCACTATCACTTGGTGGAGCTTCGGCCCCCTTCTACATCGATATTATTGCTATAGGTGCCTTCGTTGCCATGCAGAAAGGGATCTTCGTGAGTTGTTCAGCAGGTAACAGCGGGCCTCGTAGTTCATCATTATCAAACGAAGCCCCATGGATCCTTACAGTTGGAGCTAATACGATTGATAGAAGAATAAGAACAACGGTGTATCTGGGGAACAAAAAGCTGTTCGACGGAGAGGCAATAAACCAACCTAAAGATTTCGATCATAAGCTTCGGCCCCTTGTTTACCATGCAAAAGACTCGATCTCAGCAGCATATTGCTTGAATGGATCACTAGACCATATTGATGTCAAAGGGAAGGTGGTATTGTGTGATCAGGGTGCAAGTACTGCACTTGATAAGAGCAAGGTAGTAAAGGCTGCCGGAGGAGCTGCCATGATCATTGCTAATCACAGAATTTTTGGCGAGACTACAATCATAGAGCCTAATGTTATTCCTGCATCAATTGTCGGTTATGCGGAAGGAGTTGAGATAAAAAAATATTTGAATTCGACTACTTCCCCTGTAGCAACCATCCTCTTTCGTGGAACTGTAGTCGGCATAGATACAGCTCCAGAAGTGGCTTCTTTCTCTTCAAGAGGGCCTAACTTGGAAAGTCCTGGAATCCTGAAACCGGATATTATTGGTCCCGGGGTTAACATTCTCGCATCTTGGCCTATATCGATTGATAACAATACAAAGACCAAAGCAGCATTTGACATAATATCGGGCACATCAATGTCTTGTCCTCATCTCGCCGGCATAGCAGCACTGCTAAAAAGCGAGCATCCAGATTGGTCGCCGGCTGCAATCAAGTCTGCAATGATGACCACCGCAAGTCAGGTAAATCTGAAAGGGCATGCCATTGTAGACCAAAAAGACGCAAGATTCCTCCATGCAGACGTCTTTACCATTGGCGCAGGTCATATAAATCCATCAAAATCCAACGATCCAGGGCTCGTGTTTGATATCCAACCCAGTGATTACATTCCGTATCTGTGTGGGTTAGGTTATACTCCCATACAAATCGAATTGATCACTAAAAAGAAAGTTTCATGCTCAAAAACTATACCTGAGGCACAGCTAAACTATCCTTCTTTTGTGGTTTCACTTAAAAAAGGTGATACAAAAACATACTCAAGAACAGTGACTAACGTTGGTATGGCAAACTCGACTTATACCATCGGGGAAATTTCTGTACCACATGGGGTAAAAGCTGAGGTTGGTGGTTCTTCTCAAGAACTCATGTTCACAGCAGTACACCACAAGTTAACATACAATATAACTTTTACTCGGGATAGTACGGTCGAGGTGAAGGCTCAATACGGGCAAGGGCATATGACTTGGGTTTCCGCTAAATACTCGGTTAGGACCCCATTTGCGTTCAAGTTTGAATAAGTTTGTTTGATGTTAATTTTAAGAATATAAATTATAATATTATATGCAACTTTCGTGTACGTGATCATCGATCTTGTACTGATTCTTTATATCATAACGTGTTATCAGAAATGAAATAGAGAAAGAAAGAGATTGTAATGATCCGGATTCATTAATTGTCAAAGAAAGATATAGATACATGTTCACAGCACTACACCAAAAGTTAACATACAATATAACTTTTACTCGGGATAGTTCGGTTGAGGTGAAGGCTCAATACGGGCAAGGGCATATGACTTGGGTTTCCGGTAAATACTCGGTTAGGACCCCATTTGCGTTCAAGTTTGAATAAGTTTGTATGATGTTTTAAGAATATAAATTATAATATTATATACAACTTTCGTGTACGTGATCATCGATCTTGTACTCATTCTTTATATCATATTGTGTTATCAGGAATGAAATAGAGAAAGAAAGAGATTGTAATGATCCGGATTCATTAATTGTCAAAGAAAGATATAGATACAATGTATATACAAGAAGAAATAAAAACTTCAACTACTTAACTGATACACATACAGACTAAACAACTAACAAACTAACTAACAATGAATAGTTAAATTACTAATTTGCCTTTGGTTAGTTCTAACACCCCATGAAATAGAAAAAAAAAAGAGATTGTAATGATCTGTCTTCATTAATTGTCAAAGAAAGATACAAATACAATTTATATACAAAAAGAAATAAGAACTTCAACTATTTAACTGATACAGATTAATCAACTAACAATTTGCCCTTGATTAGTTGTAACAACCCCCCCTCCCAATCTGGAGGGTGCAAAAGAAACCCCAGATTGTTAATAACTTCTTGATGTTTTGTCCACGATAAAGACTTAGTAAAAACATCAACAAGTTGATTGTTAGTTGATATATGAGATAGCTGAATGAGTCCTTCTTGTAGTAATTCACAAACATAGTGACAATCAATATCGATATGTTTGGTTCGCTCGTGGTAAACCGAATTCTTTGCAATATGAATAGCTGCTAGACTATCACATTTCAAAGGTATAGGTTGAAGATTCGAAACTTGAAGATCATGAAATATCCTTGTTATCCATGCTAACTCAGCACAAATGCGTCTCATTGATCTACACTCTGCCTCTGCTGAAGATACAGAAATCGTAATTTGTTTATTTGATTTCCAAGAGATGGGAGTGTAACCGAATAGAATGAAATAGCCGCTAACAGATCTACGAGTAACTGGACAAGATGCCTAGATGCCTAATCTGAGTCACAATATGCTTCTAGATTGAAAGTCATATGTAACACACATTACCATAAAGCGATTGCCCAAACGAAAATCAAATGGATTTAGAAAATATATTTACATAATGAAAGTATGTTGCATTTTCCATTATTCGGATTTCAGGTTCCACATGAGACTAGATTGGGTAACAACAATCTTGAAAATTATAATCCCCACTTTCTTTTACATCTAATGTTCTTTAGAACGAACGTTCAATGAACTCTTTATCTATATCATGTCGTTGATATGAATGTAGTACATAAAGGCTATTGTGTGCAACATCTACAACTACCAAAGTCAAAAGCTACCCATACATAAATCCTAAATCCAATTAATTATCCCAACATTATAAATAACTAAATACGTATAAACTGAAAATTAAAACTTATTGTGCTAACATTCAAGGAATGGTTTAAGATCTACAAGTGTAGTGTCACTTTCAAGAGCATTACCACTCACAAATATCTAGTTGCAACTCTTGATAGCTTGCATAAGATCTTATGCTATGATTTCCATCCAATATATAAACAACAAGCTCAACATACTCCAATAAGTAGGGGTGAACATGGTGCGGTTTGGTGCTGTTTTAAGGACAAAGCGAATCGCAAACCACAAAGAGAGTTTTTTGTATTCTTAAAACCGTTGGGTGGGGTTTTCCAATGGTTCGGTTTTTCGGTTTCTAAATGCGGTTTCGGTTTGTACGATGCGGTTTCAGTTTTAAACTAATTCTAAAATTTGGTGTGTTCTTTGATGTTTTTTGGAGTATTTAAAAAAAAAAAAACACGATAACAATGTGCATGTAAGCTTGTGTGGTGCAATTTTTTTCACATTTTGAAACCATTTATTTGTAAAGGTTTATTTTCAGTACAAAATAAATTATATAAATCAAAAGCTGTAAGTAACTTTATATATACAATGGTTGATTAAAAAAAAAAATTTGAATTTTGGTTTACTTGTTATAACCTTATAACATATGGTTAATTAGTGACCTACTTTGTTGTGGTTTTAACTATAAAAATAAAAGCAAAATAGAAAATAAGTTTGTAAAATGATTTGGAATCCCGATTAAATGGCTAAAACCAACTATCAAAGTCTAAAGTCCAAATATAATATGTATTAATATTTCTTAGTATTTTAAAAAATATGTATATATTGTAAAATATAAATATAAATTAGTGATATTTTATAAATCTTTGGTGCGGTTCGGTTTTGATGGACTGGTTTCTTGGTAAAAACCGTACCGACCCGCAGACCTTCGGTTTTTGCAAAAATGAAATCCGCACCATTGGTTTTTGCATCGGTTTCGTTTTGTTGGTTGTAGTTTGTTGCGGTTTTGTCAGTTTATTTTTAGTCGGTTCGGCTTTTGCTGACCCCTACCAATAAGAATTTAAAAAGGTGAGGATTAAACACACAGTGAGGAGTGTGAGGACAATTTTCCACCATCTATTTATTCAAGAGTGATAAACTAAATCAACATGACTTCTGTGTGCACATAGTTATAATTTTATTTTTTAAATGAAGCCAAACAACTTAATATTGAACTCTTTCCACATTATTTTATATCTTTTTTTTTCGAAATATGAAAAACTTATCAGGAGAACGAGGGAGAAGTGCTCTATTTGGGAGCAAGTGATTATGGAGAGTTAGGGTTTTTTTCAAATAAGAAAATCATTCCAAAAAAAAGAGGCGGGCAATATTGGCGCCTGCTTTTACATAAATTAAAATTTTAAAACGTAAAGACAATGTTACAAAGAAAATATGTGCCACTAAAGACAATTTATAGTGGCACAAAAATAATATGCCATTAAAAACTTCAGCCACTAAATGTAAGTTTTTGTAGTTTGGGTACATCTCGTGGTTAAGCATGTAGTACATGAACCAGATGAGTAACCCAAATAATTTTTGCATCAACATTAGTCATAGCACGATATTTTGACTCGAGACAGTGGGTTGCTTCTTAGCACTCCATGAGACAAGACTAATGAACCTAGTCTGTATTAAAGTATCCTAGTAATGAAGTGGACTTAGGATACCGGAAATGCAAACCATAATAAATAGTGCCTTTGAGATGTCTCAAAATTCGTTTAACTGCTTGAAAGTGATCATTAGTGGGAGCATAAAGAAAGTAGCTAACTTGGTTAACTGCATGTAATAGATATGGGCGAGTTTGTCAGATATTGAATGTAAGAACATGAAATTTAAAGAAAGTTGACTATTAGTCAAATATTGACTAAAATGGCTAAATTGCCAGATATGAGAAAATATGAGATTATAAAGTTATGACTTCATGAAAATGGTCAAGAAGAGCTTAAGTCACTTAGAAGAGGTTACATGAGTTCGTTCAAAAAAATGAATGCATGAGAAGATGCATTTTGGCCAAAACAGTAAAATGGGGATTTTATGTTTTCTTGGCCAACTTTGCTACTTAATAGATTAATACCCGTTTTGAGTCAGTGAGAAGTGGCTTAACAGATTTGGAGTATTTTCCCATATCCGCGTGGATAAAAAGATCATAGAAAACGGATAAGAAACGAAGAAGATATGTGCATTAGAAGTTGGGACAAATTTTCCTAAAGCCGGAATGGAATCAACAATGCACTTTGTTGATCTCCAGGTGTCGCGGCACGACAACATGTTCTCGATGGCACGATGGTGCAAAGTAGACTGCCATTGACCACGAGTCAACTGGTCACTACAATGCAGTAAATAGACCACCACGTCGAGGTGTTGCAATGTGACAATTGGAAAATTTCCATCATCAACAATCACTAGAGATTAGCATTGACAAATAATAACAATAAAGCCCTAGTAAACATGGTGGTCGATGCCAGGGCTTATGATTTCAGGCTATTCCTAATGGTTCATGTCTCTGGTCGAGAGCATAAACCAAAAAATTCCGCCGGGACATTTTGCCACATCAATCCGGAAAACTATTGTCTGAGTTGTACTATCGCAAGGAGCTTATGGTTTTGCATCTTTGTGATATGCGTAAGACTTTTTTTCTGCCTCACAAACGTTCTACTTTTCCATTCACATCATCTTTCATAGAAGATTCAGACTAGACTATTTGTCAATCAGGTAATTTTACTGAATCCAAAGAGCTTGGTATATTTTTAGGTATTTCCAAATCGTTAGGTACCGCTCTCTGTACATATATTTTGTTGAAAGTTTGTATATAGATCTGATTTGAATCTTTGCTAGTTGGTAATAGTCAGGTTACCACACTAAACCATAGCTAAATTACTCATGCTTTAATGTGATTATAGTTCCATTTTGGATTTTCTTTTCGATCTGCGCATGCTTCGAGATTTGGTGACTTCTTTTGTTTGATTAATTGATTCACCATATAGTTTATTAGATCGATAAGTATTCACGATTACTCTACTAGAAAAAATGGCAAATAGCCCCAAATTAGATTTTGTATGAGAAAAAAACATAAATGCTTTAGAAGTTTTTGGTGTATTTCGTCTTCTACAAAACAACATAAATGCTATAATTTCGTTTGGTATAATCCAACTCATGTATATTTCTACTTTCTACAATAAGTTTTTGGTGTATTTCGTCTTCTACAGAACAAACTTGTAAACAAAGAAAACCTTCAACATTATCCATTGATGAAGACAAAATGCATGTCTAACTTGCTAAGGTTATATGCAAAATTCTCAAATCGACCAAATACAAGATTTAGAATGATTTCGTGCATACTTCATTAATAT